TTCTGCACAAAATCCACGAACAGTTTCACTGAACACAAATAAAGGAAGTACCCCTTGATTTGTAAGAGGTCTTCGTTGCACCAGGCGAGGCTTGCACAGGCAGAGGATCCCTGTGTGCTCTGCCACTTTGGAAAGGAACAGGAGCCACGAGAGGGCACTCTCGTAATCTGCAATTTGAATTTTGGCTGCCTAGCTTTTTCATTTTTAATTATAAGGAATTCTGTTTTGCAGAATGAAGAGATCTTACTTGACAGAACAAGACAAAAGATTTTTCTCTAAATTAAAGGAAGCTAATGATATCTACAATATTTTCACATTACACCACATTAGCTAAAGAAACAGAGTTTACTGATCAACCAATGTTAACTTCAGAACTTTATTTTACAGAAGCAAAATGTGATTTGCATTAAAAACCAGCTCTTACTGTTTATGACATCTTTCAATTTATAATATTTCAGTCAATGAGGGCAGAAGAAACCTCCAGTGTTATAAGTGGTTGAAAGTCATAGATGTGATCTCAAGCACAATACAGGTAAAATGTGCTTAATCAGATTTATGTTTCTGAAATCATTGTGGGGCTGACTGTAGATATTTTTTCTAAAAGACGTTCAGTCATCTTATACAGAATATGTATATTCAGCACTGCATTATCACAATCTCCTATTTTCCAGGAAAAAGAAAAAAAGTCTTCAGAATAGCCCTCTCTTCAGAATAGCTACTCTCATCACCTTTTTCAGGTTAGGAGGGTAATCAGTTACTAGAAGTCCTTTGTAGCTAATGATTATGTCATTTATTTTACTGGCCATTGTAGGGATATTGATAAATGGGGCACTCCTGAAGGTAAGGTTATTCTGAACACATCTTCCTGCCTGACACTTGCTGTGTTTGTTGAACAGATGCCAAGCACACCTACTGGAAGCTGAATTATACATTGTATAGTCACTAGGACATACTTCAATAAAAGTGAAAAAGCTCCATTTGCAATATGCTTAAGGAAAAAAAAAGAAAGAAAGAGAGAAAAAATACAAAAAAACTCTTTTCTGTTTGAGAACACCAAGAAAAAAGTTTAGTCTAACTTGATTTTTTATTAAAAGTGTTTTAAAAACCTTCTTAGACACTGCACTTGGATTCTGCAAAGTCATGGTGAGTCGTTCACTTGGTATCTTCAATATAGGAACATTTAAAGCAGTGCTGAGACACAGTGATTGGTAAATCCACCCTTAAAATCCGCATGCTTATTTCCATTACACATGGAAAATAGCAGGTGACTAAAGGTATAGCTAGAACATACATTTTATGAGAGACAAGGGGCATTGCTAATTTACTAACTGCAAAGGGAACTGGCAGATCTTATCTGGTATTCTGCTAATCTTCCAGAGTGCTTTATTTGCCATTAAATACATTATGATTTGAGATCCTGACATGGTTCATTTTTAATAAGCTACCTCAACACCTAATATAACACTAAAATTACAAATATCATATTCATGAAATCAAAGAGATCTTCCTGGCATTCAAAGCAGGATCATAATAAATATGCTTTCTTTTTAATTATATATTAACTTGGAACTATTTTACAAACCTCCTACTGCATTTAGGTCCCTGTGTACCCAGAAATCTGCATTACCTGGGAGCATAAAATGGCACAGAATTAAAACACATTATGCAAAAACTGAATGCTCCATAGTCTAAAACATGCCCTGCTGTACCTTGCTCATCAACAGTTAAAGGAACTCGGTGATATCACTCGCAAGATACTGCAAACAAAACCTAAGCAATTGTATGCTTGTGTTAACTTTTATTTCAAAAATTTTAGCAGGTGATTTCTTGTATCTTCTACACTCCTAATTAACGTAAGAGATGAAACATACCCGAGACACATTATTAGCTCTAGGCATGAAACAGTTAACAGCAGTGCACATGCCAAGGTTTTAATAAGGCTTAACAATAAAAAGCTTCAATCCTCCACTTTCACTAGATTTTGTTGTTGTGGTTTTCCCTTGCTTAGGGCAATCCATCTGTTAATGTTGACTTGCAATATAGCTAAGCTCACACATGTCTGAAGAGCCTAGAACAGTGAACCTGAGCAGGAGCAAGCTCGGTTGAGTATTGCAGAGAGGGACCGGCTCGTTTGGGCACAGATAAATTGTGTGTGCACGCACGAACCAGTGCACTCCCCTCAGCCCCATCTTTTAGGAACCACTTTCAAAATGCAAATTATAGGAGGGCAAGCTGAGCACTTCAGTTTGCAATAACACATTTCATTATTTATCTTCTGGTTAGGTTTTGACAGCTATTTTAGATGCTATAATTTTTTTTTTTAATTTATTGCTGATTTTTCTTAAGCCTATTGCCAATCTGGAAAAGAAAAAATACAATAAAGGCACTATGACAGCAGTGATAAAGCTTAGTAAATATTCATTGTTAAAAATGGCTCTGCACTGTGACCAGTGCTGGTATTCTCCCTGGGCCAAACTGGCTGTGTTTTCAATAAAACCAGAGAAGTATCCTTTCCCTTGAGCCCTGTTAGGCTGAGGCTGCAGTTGGAACTGTCATCCTCACACAAAAGCAAAGGGGCTGGGTTTTACAAACGCAAAGCCTAATTGGGAGATCTTCATGGCTGTACCCTTGACATTTATTAAAGCCTCATCAACAAAACAGGAAATAACCGTACTAATTAGCAGACCCATATACAAACTCTTGTTTGTTGGGGTAAAAAAAAACCTCTTGTTTGTTGGGGTAAAAGTAGATTCACTTCCTATTGTAAAGGAAACATCCTCTCAGACCCCCAAATCCTGTTATGAACAAATTTTTTAAATTATCTTTCTCAGTAAAGCAAACATTTGTCTCTTACGTAACTTTTCAAAGGATGTTTTACAGCAGCTCAGGTAACTCTCAGTATTTAACTGTTTCCAAGAAGTGGAGAAGGAAAAGCTCAATGCATACTTCTGATATAACATAAAATACGACACCAAATTCTTTGTATTTACAATTTTCTAAATGTTTTGGTATGGAAGAGATAGTAATAAATGCAGAGGTGCCTCTATTTTGGAAGCAGGATGACCATTAAAAGCAATTGCTCTCTCTTGTTCATTGTTTACCTATGTTTGGGGTGGGTATTACAGTACACCAATGTAACAACTTAATCAGTATCTGGTCCTTCCTTTAAATGTGTATCAAATTGCCTGAACTCCACATTAGCACTAGCCTTATACCGATACAGCCATTACAGAAGATAACTTTAGAGATCTGGGTGAAGAGTTTCATTTGCAGGATAAAGACTACCAGAAAAACAATTAAATCAGACAACGGCACACTGAATTTCACTTCTTTTAAACAGCAGACTCAGTACTAGATCAAATATGGTCTCTCTCATACACATGCATTGCAAATACAAATATATATTCTTATTTGGATGTAAACTTTAAAATCACCACTTATTAATAAAGAATTTATATTATCTTATTGAAACACCAAGACCAAAAGTAAAAACAAGACTAGCAATAGCAGACTTGTTTTTCAGAAGTCCTTTGGTTTGTTTGCTTTTGGGGAGGAGGAAAAAGAGAATTGCATGAGTGAGAGGTGGAGTTCTTGGAGGGCAATCCCCATGTGCCCCTTCCTTCCCACTGGGTTCACGTGACATCTGGGACAGGAGCTGGGGAAAAGACACCTTTGGTTTGGAGCAGGGCAAAATGGTGAGGCTCTCAGTTCCCAGCCTTGTTAATTCACCCCAGACAAACACGTGTGTGTCCGTGTGCATGCACATCCATTAACACACGTGTGTAAGGAGGCATGGAAACAAAGCCAGGCACACGTCTGCACTCCTGATGTCTTTGCAAAGCTAAAGGACAACTGATAGAAACAGCAATGATTAGAGGATATCACATAAAAACACAGAAAAGTTCAATTGTTCTGTCTGAACGAATGCCTTCAAAAGAAATCTTTAATTGTACCAAGGTGAATTATATTCCTTTGTATCCCTAGACTCCTGTACATAACAATAGGCAGCACTACCATATCAGTGAGGCAGAAAGTCTTTGTATTATTTATAACCCTACTAAAAATAATGACTTAATACTAATGTACAATTTCACCATTATTTAGCAACCATCTGCATCAGTTCTATGTTGTATTTCAGAAACTGTCTATTTACTACTGATAAAAACTAATTCAAAATCAAATTGATTAAATAGACAATCCAGATTTTTATTATTGCAGTACCTACAGCAAAAAATAAATGTTGCTAGATCAGTTGGATTGAATTTATATATTTAATTCTCATATTAGGAAGATACAGGCATTAAAAATCCACATATATTAAAAACATGCAATAATATAATGTAAAAGTGAATATCTATAAATATTAAAAATATGTACATATGCAGGTAAATATTTGCAGGGAAAAAAAGTGTTAGAAAAACTACTTTGTTTATATTTTTGAAATAAAACTGTCAAAATGAATCTGAAAACATTAAAACACTTGCCAAAGTTGAGACACTACACCTGTTACTTCAAATCTAGACTAGAAAGGATTGGAGAACAAAAGCCAATATATTTGCACTGCATGAACTAGCTGACATTAACAAAATAATAAATCACAACTATCTGAGCAAGGTTAAAGGCCATATGACATTTATTAGAAATGCAAAATTAATATGCCTTAAAATAAATGAGATAGCTTAATACATATCTATGAATAAACCAGAATGTATTTTTGTGAGAAGCCTTTCTCAAAAATAGTATTTAAGAATTAAATCTCAAATCCATACTTAGAGATCTCCTGTTCTTTCCCCTCTCAACAGGGATGAAACACAAATAGCATTTTTTTTCTCCACACAAGCAGTGTAGCAGTATTCCTATAAACATAGCCTTTTAATCACACTATCCAAACACAGACAGGAAAATCATCTTGTAAACAGATTCACAGACACACTACTGTAAGCAGCAAAAATTTTTCCCTACATGTATGTGAATGCAAACAAAAGTTTCAGGTGTCTTACCTGTGCCAGTCTTCGTTTTTCTGAGCTTGTTCTTTTGTCATAATGCGATGTGTAGACGGGAACAGTCTGTACTGCACCAGCACTACACGTTCCATACTCTTCCTCACTCTCCTATGCAACAAAACAGATTTAAATTCCTTTATTTATAATCATTATCTGCAAACATATCTTCCATATTATGCATGCAGAATGCATTTAAAATTATCTTGCCACAATCTATTACTGTCATGAAAATACCATCTGTAGTAAGAAAATAAAATTTAACTTTTCAAAATGCTGGATTACCAACATAGTCATTTAGAAGTTGAATTGTTTAAATGATTTTGAAATTTTTCTTAAAATAGCATAATAGTTATCCAAAAAATGATCCTTTCTCTGTACAGAAAAATCGTACATGCGAGCAAAATTTCAAATGGGAAAAGCAGCTGCAAAATGCCTAAACCATCTACTCTGATAGTTTGTGAAGTTGCTTTTGCAAAATGAAACTATTCATTCATCTTTAAACACTGCTATTGTTCATGTATCTTATGGAACTAAAACTGGACAACTGCACCTCCTGAATTACAGAGCAAGACTCTCCCTTCTCAAATTCTCAGCTTGAAGCAAAGGCTTTGATTGTGATATCAAAGCAATCAACTTTATGAAAACATACATCCTCTTAATGTATCTTTGAAGACCTTTGTTGTTCTACGATAAAATATGCAAACAATAAAGAGATTATTCAGTGGATGCATAGAATGACAGATAGTTGCCAGAGGGCTCGTTATGAAAAATGTATTGTTGAACAAAGGGCTAAGCATATTTCAAAAGTCATTAAAAACACAAATCTCATGTGATTTGTAAAGTATAAGCTTCAAACTGATTCAAGAAGCAGTGTAAAAAACTAAATAAAGTGTACTACATACCTTGTGTTTTAACTTACTCTTCACTTCTTTTATTCCTTGCCTTGCCTGGTTTTTTGCCTGGAGAAATAAAAGGACTTAAATTGCCCTGCAAGACACTGGCTGTAGTCACAGAACATGCCTTATGATGCCATACTTATTCTGCCTTTTTTTAAACACCTGGTGATATAGAAAAGGGCAATAATCTTTATCACAAATTTCAAACACACACTGCCACTGTATTTTTTTATATTCACGCTTCCCCCACACATTTGAGGATTTTTTTTTCAGTACATCTATGCCAGTGCTGTCAAAACATACATACTCAAAAATTCTCCATTATTACTAGGAACAGACTAAGAATGGTCATATACATAATTCCTTTATTTGAAATGCTCCTTTCAATTTGAAAGGGTATTTTAGCAATAAAGCATGTTGAAAAATGTTAAGATTTTTAAGATGACTGCTACAGTGTTCCAGTCTGGCAACTTGCAGGGCAACATCAACCTTAAGAGAAATGAAGTGATTTCATATGCAGATGGAGATTTTGCCCAGTGTTGCTGAACAGCACAGTGCTGCTATTTAGGGGAGAATTCTGTATGCATTAAAACAGGCAGACAAGAATCATTGTTGCATAGAAAACAGCCAAGAATCTTCTTCCATACAGAAAGGAATTATCAATATGGAATACCATGTTGTTAGGCTAAGAAAATGAGAGAGAGAGAAGAGGAGAGAAGGAAGCAAATTAAAAATGGGGGTATAACACCCAAAAACCCTAACAGATAAAAAGTTGTCTTTCCTACTCAAATATGGAAAAAACAAGAAAAGTTTTCACGGTTGTATTGAAAATGAGAAATTTAAAACACATTCAGGGGCATAAATATATAAAAGCCACAAGTTTTTCTGTGGTTTTTAGTACATGGAAATTCAGAAAAAAAAATTTCTGGAATCGAGCGGTCATAGAGTCTTTTTGATCCTTAAATCATACATCCATAAGCTCAGTAAGAGCACAATGGGGTGCCATGTACCAGATGCTAACCTGAAAGCCACTTTAAACTTCCCAGATCCTGCTCAGAGCATTTGGATGAATTTTGGAGTGCTTTGTTCTAACTCTGAGGGATGGTACCAATGACATTACTCAAAGCTCCCAATCAGTTATGTGGTAATTAGGAAATGCATATTTCAGTCCTCTGGTAGAAGGCTCCATAAAGGACAATAATGTAAGAAATTAAATGGGGTAGAAATATGGATACCATATACAAAAAGATCCTCAGAAGTTTACTGTAGTTTCCTGGCATATACAGAAGTTCACTTTGAAGAACCTTTACTATCAAGGGCATAATTATCAAAATTGAAGGCTGAGCCACAGTCTAAGATAGTGCAAATGAAGAAGAATAATTTGCAGATGAACCGTTTCTTAAATTATAAATGAGTCCATAAATATGAAGTATATTTAATTTATTTACCTGTTTCTTTCCACAACTTCTGTGTTTTTCAAGTGATATAAAATTAAAAATTCTGTTTGAAAACTTTACTTAAAATACTCTAGTACACACTGATTTACTGATTTATTCAGGCCTATTTATAATGCATCCAGCTAGAGAAACATTTGGAAAACCAAAAAGGAAGCCAAAAATCATTTCCTATGTATTATGAAAGCAACTTTTAAAACACTTCTCAGTTCTTTTTTTTATTGCTGTTTTACCATACTGCATAATACAGTATAATCTCACATGTGTCATGGGGTAGGCAGTCTTTGAAAAACAAGATCTTTTAAGACGAGAAGCATAAGCATTAAACCCAGTTAAACATGAGTATTCCACCATCATTTTTAAAAAGGAGCAGATGATTTGCTGCACACATTACTGATGCTTTACTACATCTCAAAAGTGCAGCACTTACTGCCAAAGTGAAATTACAGCTGTGTATCAAATACTTAAATGATATTCAAATAAGCTTCTAGCGTGTATGAGGACTGAAAGAAAACCAGCTCACTGATGCTTTGATAAAGTCTATTTTTATGTCCAAGCTATCTAGAAGGCTCTGAATCAACTCTAAATCCTAGTGCTATATGAGAAAACAGACGAAGCTCAACACTTTCTACAGGCTGAAGTACTTTTTTGCAATTTATTTATAAAATGCTTAGGTATTTCAGCATTCAGGGAGAATGAGAGGTTGCTAGAAATAGCAGTATTTTTATGTATTATTTGAAATAGATGATCTTACAAATTTATATGCTGTTTTCACAGCCGGTGTTGCTTTGGTCATTGCTGTGTTGATCAGTGCACTGCCTTTCTGAAATATACAAAAAATGTATTTTAGTAACATTTTAACACAAAGCAAACCTTAAGACAACAGCAAGGAAAAATAAACAGTGTTCTGTGAAGAAGTTACAACCTTCCTTTGAAATGGGTAGGAGGAAGCACAGCTGTGTTTCCTCCCCAGCCTGCTGTCTGCAGCTACACAAGGGTTACAGTACGTCATTCCACAGCTGACACATTTATCAAGGCACTCCAACAGAATGATGGATTTTCAGTCTTCATTCACTGTTACCATTTCAAAATCAATGCAGAAGTTAGGCTATTTTTCATGTGTTCCTATCATATTTATTATGCAACTAAAAAAAATTTGACCTGACAGGAAGAACTATCTCATTTAATCAAACAAGAATTCTCTTAATCTAAAATAATATATTTTATTAATGCTGCAGAATATAAAGGTTATACCAAGGGTCTTCTGCTAGTCAAATTGCACAAATCCATATTAACAAAATTGCTATTTACTCGAAGGCATAAGCTTCATATCAAATTGTCACACCTAATTCAGAGTCATGGAATGCAGCATGATGCAGAAAGCAATGAAATCTTTGACTATATAGACAAAAACCTTATGCATTTTGTTTTGTGTATGGGAATTTTTTTAAATACTTCAATGAAATACTCAAATTTTTTACCAGTACTATAGACTTGGTATTTCTTACAGAATGTACTTCTTTCTCACAAATGAACAAACTTTTACCATTACACAGAAGTGAGGAAAAGGATGGAGACCTAAAGGACAAGATGGCCAGTATAATTACTTAATCAAGTTTTACCTTCACTGTATGCATCCATTGCTGATAAGATCTTGAATTTCCTGAAAGAGAAATAACAAATTAACACAATCAAATGTACATTCAACATTTTAAATGCTGCAACCCTCTTCATTATAGGAATAAAAAATGTAATTAGAGAATTACTTATTCAATTAATTCTTTCCAGCTAGACAAGGAATGTAAAGATAAGAGTATGTGTACACTAAGAAATAAACCCAGGAATCTCTTATTGCTTGTTTTCTGTTTCCTTTGTAAAAGCTTATGTTTTCACCACACAAAGTTTTTTACTCCATTTAAGGTAAAAGATAAATTAAAACAATGATAAGGTAACATGCTTTTAGAAAGTATAAAAAGAAAAACACTAACTCAAAGGAAAGAATAATGTATTAACTGCATTCAAACATAATGATCCCTCTAGGCAAACTTTCAAACATAACAATGACATAGACTCCAGAAGGTACCACACCAAGGAAAAACAACAAGAGAGAAGTCTATGGGTTATGTCACAATTGTATATTCCTGTGCAGAAAAAATCCTTTTAAATTATTAACTGTATCTACCTTAAGAAAGAAAAACCTCTAAAGGCAAGTGAGAGTTACTGACTTCTGTAGGACCATTGAGGACTAAACTGGCCACAAAGGAGCATGTTAAATTCTACCTGAAGAAGAAGTCAATACTACCCAAAGGTGCTTCAGCTGAACAACAAAGATCAGTTCCATGATCCCTGAGAAAGTTTTAGAATACATCAGTCACTCGAATACTCCAGTACTATGAGCTGCTACTGACCCCATGCACGACATTAGCTTTGAGAAGAATCCTCCAGTTTCAAACAGACTTTAACCACGTTGAAAGGACCATACTGATGTAACCTTACAGACTTTTAACAGCTCACAAAACTCAAGTGTTACAATAACCCGCTAAGGCGTGGCTAGAATTATTCCAATGGCTAATGAAAGCCAAAACACACTCCTAAAACATTTCTGAGAACTAACTGCATCATTGGAAAAGGTATTTCCAGTTTTCAGCATGAGGTGAAGAAGCATGAACTCCTTAGGCTTGTACCATATACTTTAACCCATTCCACTCAATTTTCACAAGCAATTTTGTGACAGCCAGACTCTCAGGAATGATGGCACAAGTGAAAGCAGTGCTTGCTTAGAGAGGAGAGAACCTCATGATCATTTTGATTCCATTAAGAACAGCAAAGCGCAACCTAAAGCAGAAACATCTCATTTTTCACTTCTTTGATGAGGTTCCCTAGAACTGTCAGGGAAGGAAGAACATGAATTACATGTATAAGGTGAAATCTAACCACTGCTGGGGTGTTAAGGATATTGCATGAACCATAAATGCTTTCTTTAACGTGGTATTTCATTGCTTCAATTCTTGTCAACAATGTTCATGTATCACGTGTCTTGAAGTGTCCTTAACAGTGACTCCTTCCAAAGCTAAGCTTTCTCTGCCACAGCCTGACTTAAACAATTAATAGAAACAATAAATGGCATCACAGCAAATTACCAAGTTTAATGTTCATCTAGTTATGTAGTGACACTTCAGGGATGGCAATCAGAAAACAGATAAATACTCATCTACCAACACTCCTGATACCATTGCATGCCTTCAGCTAGAGCTGAACCTCCTGAAACCCTAGCAAAAAAAATCTGATTCCTTAAAAAAAATTATCATTACAAGGGAGTTTCAAAAGTTTTTATTTTTTTCAGTTTTCCTTCTATTAGCACCAGTGATATTAGACCAATTTTTAAAAAGCTTGCTTTAAGTAAAATTAATGTAATTTAAAATTAATTAACATATTCTACAAGAAATTTGAATGCTAAACCAATCCATGACTATATTCTTGCATTGAAAAGCACTTGAGAACTAATTCTTCTATAGGAAAAATGCAATAGAAAATAAAATTTCAATTATAAAGTGCAAACTATAATGAAGATGTCTCACAAATTTATTTTCAGATGTAGATACACAAATAAGTTTTTACTTTTTTTTAAGAAAATAATCAAAAAAAGGAATTTAAGTTTTATTCTTCAGTTTTCTTTTCTGGTTTAGTTAAACTTGCATATGTGCACAAATGGAAATTTAGAAAGATTACTTAAAGAAACGCTTTCTATTTGAATTTGATTTGGTAGTTTTTAAATTATATGGTCTACATTAAAATGTGTTCACCTGTCCTTTAAACCGCTTGGAGCTAACAGTAACTTTCTGTGACTTTTCTGAAATCTGGGTTTCACCTGTTTTTTTCAAACCTTGGGCTTCCTGCTGAAGCTGAGGGGAGTCAAGTCTGCAAAGAGATCATAGTTCTACCCCATTAGCGTCACAAAATGTCACCTTCAATTGCACACATATTGTTAGCCCTGCACTTCATAACAATAATGAGACAGCAGTTATGTAAATACTGAGTATGTGCCCTAAGCAATTTGTCCACAGCCTGGCACTATCAGCTTGTCTGACTTGAACAGCACACAGGCAGTGCAAGGCAGCCCAGCACCGCCAGCAGAGCTGAGCAGTCCCTCCTGAGCACAGCCAGGTGAGACACAGTTCACAGCCTGCCAGAGCACAGCCAAGAAACAAGCTTTATCTAACTTCTACTGCAGTTTTATTGCAGCCTCCTGACCCCTAACTGCAGTCAGCAAACGAGCTCTGAATACTGACATCACCTATCTGAATAATGGATGCTCAAAGTCTCAAATCTGCTTACAGAGCAGTGTAACTTACCCTAAAATGGCAGGGAAGAAGTAAATCTCTGTTAAACTAAGCACAACTTGATCAAGAAACAAAACACCAAATTATGTGCTAGATCCTAGCACAAGACACAGAAGGTAGAAGAAGGCAGTGAAAATCTTGAACAAAAGAAATTATGCACTTTGAGTATAACAAAGGGGTTTTTTATGAGGTGCAGATGGCCATGCAGCTCTTGATAGTTCTCTGTTGGGGCCAAATCCTCTCCTCAATGTGTCCCATTCAAGGACAGTCTTGCAAAGGAAGTCCATCCAAAGCTGCCATCTGCACCTCAGCGGAGCTCGTCAAACCACATTACCTCCATCTACTGAGGAAGCTTGTACAACTTTCAAGACTGACCATGAAATAGCATTTGTACAGTCATGTATATATTGATCCCATCTTTTGATACCATCTCTAACACCTGGGCTGGTTTTGGCTGCAGTAGAGTGAGCAGCTGTGTGGTGCTGGGTTTTAAACACACCTAAATTAACAATACACCTAAATACCTAAAATAACAATACACCTGTTCCGAATGTTTACCAGGAAACCACTCCATAATCCTGTAAAAATCAGCACCAGATTCAGGATGCACTCTTCCACATGGGCTAGCTGATGGGAAAAGTGTTGTAACAATTGTCAGTGAATACAACTGAGGCAAACAACACAAGGAATAGTATTTTTGTTATAAAGAAGATAAATTTCCATGTCCCTTCTCAGACATATATAAAAGTAAAAAAAAACTTCAACCTTGTTTAGAGTAACACATTTGTTGGAGAAAGCAGATTTCTCTTAATATTCAGGACATCACCATGATTTCTACACTGCAGGAATAAGTAGATGTGAAAAGAAAATGCAGTGTTTATGGAAAACATAATTATCTAGAAGCAGCACAAATGTCAAAATTATTTTGAAAATACAATTTACATAGAATGCATAATATCTATAAATACACAGTTAAAAATGTAAACACTATAGTGATATCTCATCCTATACTGAAGTATAAGTATTACTTTACAGTCTTAAACACACATATGTAATATTACACACATATCTAATATCACATATTTAATACACTGGTGTAACTAGATACATAATAGTGTGTATCCCAGCAGTGATTTTTTAAAGGCTAAAACCTTTCCAAGAATGACGGGAAACAATACAACAGTAAAAAGATCAATGACGTCTAAAACTTACAAAACATCATGAGGACATCATGTCAAACAGTTCCCAAAGAAGTGTCAATAAGTACTCCCAAATTAATTCCGTACCTCCACAAAAGCCTCCTGCTGTGATTTCTTCTTCGAAAACATCAGAGAATCCTCTTCCTGAATTCAATTTTGATAGCCGACCATCAATAAACTGGAGGTGAAAAAAAAAAGGTCACACACACTTTGTTGTCTCTTCTATTGCTTTACAGTGCTAGAGTTTTAAATGTGTACATTTTAATAGAATCTGTATGTTCAAGACCATGTATGTCTCAAGGATAATACACTGCTTTTAGATAGACTTTACATCTTTACACAAGGGCAGGTGTAACTATGAGCAGCAGGAATATAGAGTACAGATCAAGAAAATTATTTATATTTTCTGCATTTTACTAATGGCAAGAAAAGAATTTATTTCCTTACTTAATAGTAACTCTGGATTTGCTATCATAACCATATAAAAGTTACCAAGCCATTCCCTGATGTCCTGCCGTGAAATCATGGGTCTTTTTAAGCATTAACCCTTATTTAGGTGCATCTGTGGATGCATACTGCAACAACTATCCTTATGTAGAGGTTACAGCTGCAAGACCACATGAATTTGCAGCTACAAATAGGTGCATATACATAGATTAAATTATCCAAATATGTCAGAAAAAGTCAAATTAGAAAACTAATGATTGAACCACTCAGAATGGATGAATATATTAATTTAAAGAATTATCAGGCTTCAAGAAAGTAGAACAAGTACACTCCTATAGATTTAAAATTCTTTCAAGAAGCAAACCCTCCCTTTTTGTTTTGGAAAGGCTAACTCAAATCTGACAGATAAAGTGAGAAAGCAATTTTCTAATTATACACTCCATCTTTTAGCAAGAATTATGAGTTATTCACTGGTACTAAACAGTACACAGGAATGAACCAGAATTAATTATTTGGCTGCATCATTTTTTACAACTATCCAAACAGTGTCAGTGACAATCTGATGCTTGCCAATGAACAGACTAGTGTCATGAAAAAGCAACTTTCTCAGAGTACAAAAATTCCAGAAGACAAATAAGGTAACCATGAAGATATTTCTCTCTTCCTTGTCTAAATTCCTTCTTATTTTTTCATTTTACTCCAAGTTGGCCTTTTTCCAAATAGGCTGGTTCATGGTCAGACCACTGTGGGATCACTGGATTATTTCACAGTAAGAAAAAGAGATAAGAGCACCTTTAGCTACTGCTGTGAAAAAAAACCCCAAAAACAACAACCTCCACTCCCATCCCTTCCTTTGAACTGTAACACATTATCTCTTTGGGGAAAATTATGAATTCATTCCATACTATAAACTAGCATAAGATTTATGGACATACTCATCATCTGGTAAAATTCTATCAACAGAAGGCTGAGACACTGACTGAATATGAGAGGGTCACACCAATTGAGTATTTAATGTAAATACCGACAAAGAGAACTGTTAGCAAAAAGATACTGGAGACATTATTTAAAAGAAATGATAAGTGTTAGTCATGGTGGTAGTAGTAGTTGTTACTTTTGAGTAATTTACTGTTAATGGTTGCACTTAAACTGCTACATGAAAAGGATAGCATGTGGAATTAGATATAAAATTTATGGGTTTTCTCTTTCCATTTTTCAAATCCATCCCCTTCAAATCCACAGACTGAAAAATCTGGGCTTGCTCTTCCAAGAAATGTATTCACTTTGAGATCCAAAAAGCCCTTGGGCAATTACCTCTTTCAATGAAAAACTAGCAATTCCAGCATTACCCTTGGATTTTAAGGTGACTGAAGACATTATCTTCAACTGATTTCAAGGTTCTAAAACCAAAACAGAGACTACATATACTTCAGAATATCCAAGTAATTCTATCAATTTTTAAAACCAGAAGTTTTTAGAAGCAAAGAAAACATAAATGTGATTTCTACAAAATAACAGCTCATATCTCACAAGAAGAGAGCTCAGCTCATAAAGATGGTAAATGAAATCTGAATTACTAACCATTTTCAAAGGCTTCTGATTCCTGAATTCATTACTTATTTTTCTAAGTAATGCTTTCTAACACGTTAGGAAAAAAATCCGAATAAATGCTGCAGATTACCTTGCTGATACAAGTACACTATTAAAGGAGATAGTCTGGCATTAGGCTAGTTCTAAGAATGAATTCATATTTTTCCTGGACATTCACAATAACTATTTGACACATTAGATGCAATTATTAATTACTTATGTTTGCAACTTGATATAAAGGTTAGTTACCTTCCACGACACCATAATTAAAGGGACAAAGAAGGGACTTCATAGACCAGCACAAATGAAGTTCACTTGTCAATTATGGTAAAAATGTGTGTATTTAAAGTACCAATTTTCTGCTTGGTCTAGGTTTAAGGCTACCCCTAAGAAATATTTTCTGTTTTAAAAGACTTTCAGAGCAGAATAAAATACAGTTTAGTCTCTTTGAATAAAAACAACTTTGAAAACAGCTCATCTGTCAGTGGGAAAAACTGGAGAAGATGCAGCTGGGCTGAGGATTAACTGAGTAAGTAGGAGTAACCTTTGCAACAAGAACCAGAGGAATAAAAGAAAAAAAACTACTACTACTATTAAACCACACACATCATCAAAACTGTTACTTTTTCCTAATCCTCTATTATTTCCTTCAATTGAAATAAAACTAATACAAGCTATAAACAAATTGTAAACTGATTCTTTTTAATTGAACACATTAAAGTGTAATGGGTAAGTAGAGAGCCAGCTCATTCATGGCAGCTGAAGGCTTTGTTTCAGTACTGCCAGTGTGACAATATTTTAGAAACATTGCTTGTAAGCAGTTTTTTATTAAGAAAATTTCATGCTACCTTATTGCATGGAGATATACAAAATGTAAACCACACTTCAATCAGCTATTTCTTCCCATTTCAATCCAATCAACCAGACTTCAAAAGATTTCAGATTTCTTACTGCTTATTTTATATAACCAGAGTAAAATTGAAGGAGCCAAATTTTGTGATCATATTTTCATGGGACTTCTATAAAATTCCATCTTTGCACAAATCTTTACAATAGACAGTAACCTCTGATTTACACCAAATGCTTCTTAAAAAATAGAAGATTCTATATATAATAGATTTCCATAATCTATCATGGTTGTATATATTCAAAGAAGTTCCCCTGGTTATTTAAAAATGAACTCTTGTGTATCAATCATTTCAGGCATTTGCAGGCAAATACATATTTTCATGAATCTTCTGATTTCATTCACTTTTTCCTTGATTTTCATAAAAGTCTAGTGATAACTTTAACACCCTTTTCATGCAATGGGATCAAGTGATGAAAAGAGAGAAGAGTTACAGAATAAAATCAAAGAACAAAATCATTTCAAAGACTGTAATCAAACTATAACTGAGCTGTGCCTAGATATGCAACAATTTGTCCTCTATTAATTCAAATTCTTCATTAAGAGATCAGCTAGAAATTCAGGCAACCCCTATAGCTCAGGTTTGTGACATTCTCTGTGTGCATACTTCAAAAAGTCTAGCAAACAAACCTGCAGCTGTAGGATGAATCCAGTTTTTAGATAAACACCAGGAATTCTAATTTAAGTTAAGCACTCTGCTGTTTAGGCTCTTTGGGCATGAGCCAAGAGAGCTGAAAATTAAGTTCAACCATCAAGCTGGGAGATCCCTGATTTTTCTTGTTTAGTTGGGTTGCTGTCTGGCTCTGAAGAGATGCGGCACTGGCTCTGCACCCTGGGGTTATTTTTTTGTTCAGTTTTACCACCACTCCTTTAAACTATAACTGCAGAAATAAAAAAAACAACAAATTGGGATGACTGTACCTAAAGTACTTGCATTTAGATTTCATCCTAGACTTTCGTAGGATGACAGAAAGGAAAATGTATTTAAATACAGATATGTTTTAACAGGAAATCCTTAAATATGGGCCATTTACACTTTTATACCTGTTTAAACAGTTGCAGATTAACAGCTGTTTCCAGGAACTGCTTAGTTGTACTGGAACGATGCTTCACAAAACTATTCTCACAGAAAGTAATAGGCTCTCCCTAAAAAAAATGAAGGAGGAAAAGTTAGGATGGTGAGCATACTGTAATTCAGCCAAAAAATATGTGTCTGCACCAAATTAATTTTTTATTTATTCTACCAACACATGAGAAGATTGAGAAATATATTGCTGATTTAACAGGAAATTATTGAAACACGCATCTATTTTATTTTTACACAAAGGCTACAAACTGAAACATGGTTATGAAAATGGTTTGAACATTAACATTTAAACAATAAAACATATTTTACCACATGGGAAAAGTGTAGAACCCTTGGATGATGAAAGAAGAGAAACAAGCATTCACTGGAAAGTCAGAGCTTGTTGCAAAAAACTGTTACTGAAAACAACACTCGTTGAAAGAAAGAGATGTTCATAAGAATCTTTATAAACAATCAAATTCTTTCCTCTGTTACTTCCTAATGCAATTTAAAATTTGCTGTCTTCAGTGTGCACAGACCACTGCATGTTCCTGAGGAGCATTTCTCCAATTTTGTTATTCTTGTCCATACTTTGTGATAAATACTTGAAACTGTCCGGCATAAGTGGACAAGCACTTACGAGGTTTGTATGGCAGTGAAGGTACACAATCAGATTTCACTGTGAAGCTGAAAGGTCTCTCACCCAAGTTTACAAAACCAAAATGATTCCAGCTTAGCAACAATTACCAAAGATCTCAAAGACACAAAACTTGGAATGCCACAACATGCCCCACCCAAATCTACCATTTGAAATTTTACTACTCAGAAGCTACATCTCCAGTGCAGTCCCACAACAGAATAAAAGATACCTCAGCCACTCAAAAGAAGAAAGATCAAAGGCAGCTGCTACACTGATCTTCACAACAGCTCCAGCCACTTTAAAGACAAATTCATTAATGGCCATGATCACCCCAGCTTTGTGTTCCCAGCCTCGTTTAACTCCAATGGCACATGGCACTTCTGCATTTGCCCATCATTCCAGCTGACTGCAGGGAGGTGCTTCCAGAGTGTCACCAAGCACTTTCTCCAGGAGACTTAGCTGAGTTTGCTGAAGTAGCTGTAAATAATTTTCAACTGTTCCTTACACCTTACACTTTGTTTTTAAATGGTTCAAGTGTGACCTATGGGAATGTTGCAGTAAAAACACTATAATGTCATTTTAAAATCTATTCTTATACTATCAAAAACTTCCCTCTTTCCAAGTCTTTCTTTTCTTTACAAGTCAGCAAAGTATTTAAGTACAACAAATCTTGCATCCTTACTTCTTTATGGAAGCTCTGATTTTAGAGAAGTTCTCTCACTGGAAGAACTAGAGCCTTAGATTTGCACAATCTAAGTGCTCTGAAACACAAACCCAGCTCAGTACAATACACAGCACTGTCCATCAAATCCCCAAAAGCACTCAAGTTATTCCCCCTACGCATCCAAAAATAACTGGTGAACATTGTACACATGCAGGACATGCTGGATCTGCCAAACAGCCTGAAATATTTGTGGTACTTTAAATGGCACTGCCTTCCTGACCCATTTTGCATTAGCTATTCTTGAGCTCCTAAAGACTCTTGTCTTAAGAAGATGACCCCAAGCTACTTAGCAAATCAAAGTGCATCAAAACAAATGCAACAGTCTCCAGTGAGATATGGTGGTATAAGACACACTGCTCCTGAGGGCAGACTCTCTTCTCAGTTCTGTTACTCTTCCAAGAAATTTCAAGGCAGCAAATTAAAAGAGTTCCCTATATACACACACATATATATCATATTTCTTTAATTATTTGTTTTTGTTGTTACACAAAGAAAGCACTTCTGGAAATACAGATGCTTTGTAGGTGTGCAGCTCTAACTAGATGATGGCTTGTGACATACTAGGAAACATTAAATTTAGGAATAAAGAGAAAAAATATTTTCAAAATAAGCTATTTAATAAAATAAAACCTAAGCTATGCCTCCCTGTGCCAGTCTCCCAGTTCTCTTGGGATAGATGAAAAAGAAGAGGTTATCTCCCTACAGGAGAGAAAACAGGCATGTTTGCCCTTTCACACCAGCCAGGGGAAAGAGAGCAGCCAGCCAGTTCTCCTGATGGCACTTCTCGTGGTGGAGCCTTCTAAGAGAACACCAGGAAATGATAGTTCAACACTCCTTTTTAGTGCATGGCTGTAATATTTTCCCAAATACTTTCCTTTAATCACTAAATGCTTCAGATGGCTAGTAAGAATGCCTGCACGGGTGCAGCTCTTCCCTTATCAGTGCAATTCAGGCACAAAAAAACCAAAGCTATTTCTTTGGTGAAAATTCATTTAATTCTGTAAGGAGTTCACATCCAAAATTCATACATATTATTTCAACCTGCTGACTGTGAGATTGATTTAAAAACTTGACTAGGTTTAAATCTCCTACCTATTCAGCACATGAAAATGAGAAAATCTGTTGAAACCTGCAGAAATTCCACCTGGAAGCATTCTCAGGGTATCTGTGGTAACTTTAATGAAATTGCATTAAAGAACACAATTAACTCCTAGTTCTTTTATTTGTTCAAGGTTCTCACCAATAAAATTGTTTTCCAAATCTTCAATATTATTGCTGCAAACACAAAGCCTTTTGAAGTGCTATCTAACAAGTGAACTATTGAATCACTATAAACAAAACTAGCTCTCAATGTTTTCATACATAAAGTTTGTAACATTCTTGTTTCAGCAAATACAGCTCACTACCTTTATAAACTGAGTTTTGGAGGAATGCTGCACTGATATTTAACTGCTCAGCCATCAACTGGTCCCTGCTGTATTGATCTACAATGTTCTTTCAAAACAAGTTCGATCTAAACCCAGTGGGGACTCTGTACTGAAAAGTAGACAGCTAATACTCACACCAAACAATCTATGCCCAAACATGATATCTGTCCTTCTCACAACAGTTGCTATAGAATTTTCTTCCCCTTTCATAGCTTGCCACACACAGCAGGAATTTCTTAGTCTAAGCTACGCTCACATTTTAAGCAAGCTATTTATACAGACCTCAATGGAACATGAAAACTGAGCTAAACCAGTAGGATCATTGGAAAAGGAATGAAAACCCCTAGATTAGAAGGTCTGTGCTTTCTAAGTTTAGTGATATTTAACTTGAACAAGAAGTAAAAATACTTTTTTATTGCAGAAAACATTGCCTCACTCTAGCATGACTCATACCGACTATTAGTTCTATTGCAACAATTAATATAATTTCCTTTTGATTTTAAAATTCCTCTTAAAAATTTCTGTCATGACATTAAGAGAGAAAGGCCAAAGGGTAATTGAGCATGTGCTGTGATTCTTCTCAGGAAGGTACCATTTACAAACTAATTTTTCCAAAATTTGTATATTTCTTGCAGTCAGCCAAAAAACGTAACAAGATTCAAACATACTGATATTTTTTACAGTTAAATTATACCTAAAACCAACTCCTATTAACGCAGTATCTACATTCAAAAAAAGAGCAATAACAGTACTTGACACCAAAAACCAGTATGGTTTTCAATATGTAAAATAAAATTCTTAGGCAAGTCAAATAAATAGTCATAACAGGTATTACAATGAGTGGTTCTGCCATTTCATTACTGTTTCTGTACACTGCTGTACTTTTTATAACTAAATATTGGGGGAAATGTAAACAAGCCAATGTCCACTTCAGGAGATCTGTCATTCTGAAACTCAGTATAATTTACTATCTTCTCATCCTCAAATAATTCAGGTACATTCTGAATCTCAATTTTTTTTCCAATATAAATTTTATTTATTTTTTTATATTATTCTGATTCGTTGTACATTGAATACAACACCTGTTGGACAGCTGATGTCACTGCTTGTCAGTACTGGCCCAAAGCACCCAGTTAACAACTGATTAAGAGAGGTCTGACAGGTTGTGCCATCTTCACCATGAAGGTTATTCTGGCCTCCCCTGAACTCCTACTGCTGAGCATTCCAGAGCAAGCCAGCAGCCTTTTGCTCCTCATTTCATTACTGATGAGTGATGTTATAGCCATCACAACTTGAAACAAAGCTGTTCTGGGTTTATTCTTTTAACACTGAGAACTTCAAGGCCTTTATTCCCAAAGGAGGGGAAATTATTCTCTATCATAGTAAATATTGTTCTATTCAATATTTTTCAAGTCCATCTCCATTCTCTTATTTACCACTCCCTCTCCAGACATAGACTGGGACAGACAATAGAATTCTTTTTAATAATTCTTTACATCACATATTATTTTATTAGCTGACCATATTGCATATGATTTATGAAAAACATGTACTAGTCTTTGCCCTCATCTGCCCATGTACATGCAGGAAGAACATGCAAAGTAAAATGGCTGGGAAAAACACATCACACACACTCTGGTAACAAAATAGGGTAACAACTGCCCTACTTGTGTCTATGCCCCACATATGCCTTCAATTCTGAAACATGGAACATGCAGTGTTATCCAGGATAAATCCCCAAAAAGCTGGACTTCACAAAGAAATTAGGAGCACCACAAGGTTCAGGGCCAAGTTGTGAGCATCCAAAGTAACAAATGTCTCAAAATGGATTGCAGTCCTCCATGTCAAGGAGACCCTATACAAAACCATTAGAATTCACCATTCCACTGATAAGACTATTTTCTGGATTATTTTTAGGTCATTTATCAAATGACACCAAAGAAATTTTTTCAATCATCCCCACATACCATGTGCGAGGTGGATTCCTTCTGGATTAAACTAAAGCAGAGTTCCAGCTAGTCATGGGTATTGAGTGTTCAACACCAGACTAGAATCAGCACCCCAATGAAGGCAGAAATGCACACTGTGTGAATGTCAGGTCCTTAGCACTAGCTGGGCTGCTTTGCTCTACACATCCACTCCTATTATACAATATTTGCTAATGCAAATTGTAGCATATTAAAAAGTACTCTTAACAGTTAAATCAATGTGACAGGTTAATTTAGTAATTATTAAATCATGAAAACCATCTATTTCTTCTTTTACTGGATTAAGTGTTTCATTATCATTTAATATCCACAAAAAATACTATAAACTTTCTCTATTACATGTCATATTTCCTGTCTGTATTGGAGTAGTCAGATTTTCCATATGGTCCTTTGGAGGCCCACGAACTCTCTGCAAGACCCCTGAAGATTCCCATTTTGCCTTTCACCAATCATTTTTTTCAATAATTGCTAGACGTTTGTCCAAGACATATTGCTATACCGGGGAGAATCTGTCCTGTGCTGCAAACAAACAGTTGCACAGAATGAGTGTTCAGTGTGATGAACAGCGTTTGGAGTGAAGTGTTGGATGAGTACAGACACTATTAAAGCTGTTCTTTACTCAAAGTGAATATTAATGACAGTTGTTTCGTGTTTCAAGCTGAAATCATACAGGACGAACTGTTGCAAGAAAATAGTTCACTTAGACATGTTTTTCAACTTTCAACCAATTGGTAACTGTCCAAATACATTATTTTATTTTTCACCAGGAGGTTTGTGATCCTCAGAACTGGACCCCAAAACACCTCAGATCTTGATTTTGAAAACACAAATTTATCTATAGCAAAAGTATTTCAAATCTATATGGAAAATACTTTCATTTAAGCATTACCCCTATAAACTTTCTACACAAATACTACTTGAGTTCCTGAAAGAATGGAAATTGAGCTGTAGCTGTGGTTGAAATTGCCTCATTAGACCCGGCACCACAAACTCCAAAACAAAGGGAAGTATTTTTTTGCAATAGCTGTTATCAAGCTTTGAGACTCTTGACAAATATTCCTAATACAGCCAAATGTGATTTGATTTTTTTCAGTTTTCCAATTCAGAAAGGAGAAGGCAAATGCAGAATGAGCAGAATAATCACGTGAAAATATTTTTAATTTCTACTAATCCAGAGCAAATTATTTTTTTCTTTCACAACAAAAATTCAGTGAAATACAGAATTAGTTAAGATTATTAGTTAAGCTGTGAACACAGCTCAAAATAACAGTTACAAGGGGGTTTTATTTATTTTTAAATATGCTTTGTCTTTGGACAGCTTGATATCAATCCAAGATATGCTAGTATTTGCCAGCAGACTTCTGCCTGCTAAGATACTCTGAAATAACTTGTCTTTAAAAAAAAAAATCAGGCCACAATGGTTTCATAAATATCTTCTATATGCAATCAGTGGAGCCAAAACCAGACAAATCTGCAAAAGAAAATAATGCAGAAAGAAAGACTTCAAAGGTCATTTTGACAAATGTTTGCCAGTTGAAATGATGTACAGTGCACTGTTTCCAATACAGTGCAAATGGAGATCTCAGATATGCCAACAGCTAAACTGAAATAAAATGGGAATCAGTTAAAAGGAGAGCTCATTTCAAATGAGATGCTAGCCAGGATGTTAAAGAACTTGCACACTCAGTTCCACAGTTACCAAAACAAAGGACTGACAGAAGCTTGTTTCTGGTCAGAATAGAGCTAAGCACATCAAGCAGACTGACATCCTTCTGTTTGCACATGTCCAAAGTGTCCAAAAGACACTTTTTGACTTAACAGCTCTTACTGCAAGCTGCCATGAGTTGGCATGGACTAGTGTCCTCACCTTTAGACTAAGGAGTGAATAACATTCAGGTGATGGCACTATGGAATAAAGGATAACTATCTGCTCTGTTGAAATGATTTGTTTCATTGAGACAAGCAGTATGTTGAAATCCAGTGATTTCTAGAACAGGTGCAGCCCTTTCTGTATGGAATGCAAGTGGAATTTCCATACTGTAAGAGAACTGCTAAACACCAACAGGTGAACTAAAGCTGTGCACAACTGCATGTCTGCACAGCTTACCTGCCCTCTCACAACAGTGGCTCTCAGTGGCACTGGCAGCTACTCTGTAAAATGCCCATGGCACAGAAGACTACATGGAAGAGAACCACTTGGGGAGAAGGAAGACCCAAGGGCTAAACTGTATTTTAGAGATCCCTCCAGCAAAGTCCTTTTCTGGAATTAATAACTATCCTATAACTATTCCCATCAAGGAATACCATAGCTCCTTAGAGCACTCTTCTCACCCCCAAACAAATATCCACCCATGTTCTGCACACCTAACAGCTTTACTAACTTGATTCCTCAAGTGAGGATGATTTTCTCCTGTCAAATCTGAATTTATCTGAATCCATCAGACAACCAAACATCTGGTCCTCGGAATTCGATTCACCCAAGGTCATCTCAGTGCATTTGATCAAACCAACTACTACTAGTAGTTTGCAAGAAAAATAATCTGGACTCATGGATGAAATTAATCTCTAAGTTTTTTCAGATAAATTATTTTATCTTCAACTCAATATGTGCCACCCTCATTACTTAGACATTATGAAAGCTCATAAAATATTAATAAATGTAATACCAGCAAAATATGAAAAATACAGATTCTGAGGTTCTGCTGAGATGAAATGGGTTTTCATTTCTCCTGTGTTCCAACTGCAATCAAGATAAATGTATAATAGGAGAAATGCATGTTTGACTCATATCTGGCTTCTGCTAGGAAAGAAGCTTCTGCCCTTCAATACAGCAAAACCTCTGGAAAAACTAAGTCTGAAAGGCACAGCCACTTCAGTTCTTCACCACATTAAAAGATGTGAACGGTGTGTGAGCAGCTTCACTAATAAAATATAAAGATGTTATTAGAATCAGATAAAAAAAATAATAAAACTGATACAAATAATAAAATAGCTGACTTTGGATGAGTCTTTTTCAGTTCAATTCACTGTCAAGAGATGGTGGCATCTTCCAATTCCTTAGCACAGAGTAAGATTAGAAATAGACTATTCCAGACCGGAATAAAACACCTCACATTTTCCTTGAAAGAATGAGACCATGCTCTTATAAATTCAGGGAGAAAAGCACCAGGGAAGCCATCTTACTGGTTTGTATCTCAGAGCATCTCTGTAGGATCCGAAGAGTGCAGCCTGTGCCCGCAGGAAGGCCTTGGCCACTCCGTTGCCCGTAGCTGTCGACTGCTTTTTCAGTTTATTTTTCAAGGCCGAGACCTGCGTGACAGAGTGGAACAGTTAAATTAACACCTCAGAAATTGGTACAGAGAGGTATGAACCCAATCAGCAGGCAAACCATAGTGTCTATAGGTCAGCCAAAAATTCATCCTCCTCCTTGATAGCTTATCTTTTTAACTGCAAGGAGCACCTGCTGGTCTGTTAATTGAAATGAAGGCAGGGGATGATGGTAGAGTGCTAATGCAGATTGGTTTATGCTCTCTTTTTTTTCCCAAGGCCTCTTGACATAAATAAGCTTAATTATTTTATAGTAAAATGCATCTGAGTCATTTTATTGCAGATTTTTCTTCCAGCATAACATGTATTTACTGGCTTGAATGTAGACAGTTGGATCTATTTTATTTAAGCTATGAAGGTTTATTTTTAAGGACCCTTAATGGTCACTTACAGTCAGTGCCAAAAAAAATATCTCTTATTTTAGGTCAAATTCCTCTCTTATATCATTTCTCATGCAACATGGGAGTACCTGCTACCAGAGTCAAATAGTTGAGAAAAGTTTTTTGCAAATTCAGTGTAACACTGCCAGAATTGTCCTTGAAGATAATTGTGAAAGAAAAAAAAAACCAGTAATTAGGAAGTGCCTACAGTTTAGAAGAAAAAAAGAGTATTCTGATTATAGTGCTTGACTTTTTTAAAGGAGGTTTGTCTTTTTTATTTGGCAAATAACAACCACTGGTTAAACAGAATTAGATAAAAAGAAAAAAAAAGAAAGGGGTGAAGTTTTAATTTAAGTAACTGTTACTTCAACATACTTTGGAGGAAATTCATGTAATTCTGGAATTATTACAAGATATGTGGACTTATACCTAGATATAGTCTATACTCGCCTAATTTCCATCATGAGGGACACCTGGAAAATGAGTCAACTCTAATTACACAGAATGCACATTTCTACATCCCGTTGTATTGTAATGTACCCAACAGAGCACTATTTAAGTCCCTAAATAAAGCAACATTCTGAGTTACAATTTAAAAGGAATATTATAAATACAAACTTATCACCAAAACAGCTTTCATTCTTTCAGAAATATATGCAAGAATGAGTATCTTTTTGTTTCTTTATGCAAGCAGTCCTGACTGCTCTTGTAGATGATGATTGTAATTGAAGTGTCAACCTAATTAACAACTAAACTTTGAATAATGCTAATGAGAACTGAACATGGCATCAGAGAAAAGACCAGCTCTACAGGTGATAAACCTTCACAGTAGTGACATTTTCCAGTGTAAAGTCACAGTTACTGTGATCTGATCAAAGAAAGAGACCCCCATTGGGTCCAATTATAACTATGGTTTGGAAAAAAAATTATTGAGTTATGATGTTCATAATCTATGCAGAAAGGCCTTTACAGTATAGGTCTTTTCCCCATAGCTGTGATCTTTCAAATTTATATCCAAGCTCCACAGATCTAGATAAAAGTTTAGAGCCTGATTCGTTTAGCCCATGGAAAGCACACACCAAGGCTCATTTACGCTCTTGCCTTACACCTCAAAAGGAAAAAAAAAAAGTACAAGTCCAAGTACAAAAACCAGTTAAGAAGTTCAAGGTTGAAAAAATAAATGCATGTCTTGGTTTTGTGGTTTGATTTTTTTTTCTTTCGTTCTGTATTGTATTATTTTTTTACAGTTGTAAAAAGTAAGATTTCGTTGTGGGGAAAATAAATGCATACAAGGAAGACCTGCCCACAAACAGTAGCACAGTTTGACTAAAATAAAACATTAATTGAGCAAGAACTGTTACCATTAAAATTTTGTCTCTCAAGACAGGCAAAGCATCTTCTAAATGTAAGGGAAGGAAAAGGTAGAAAAGTCTCTACATTATTTTAAATCTACATTCTTCTAAATTATACCTTATGATTTTGGGGAAATTATGGCAGATGATAAGACAGGTTAAGAGAAGAGAGTGGGTAAAGATAATGCAGAGCAGGGGGACTACATGACTAAATGGGGAACACAAACGAAAAAGGTATTTTCTAATTTTCTCAGTTCTGGCAGACCCTAAGCACCCTATTGTAAATTTGATTAACAGGATGCTTTAGGCAAAAAAAAAAAATGCTAAAAAAATCAGTAGAAAACAACCCATCTCCTGCTCTGTTGCCATACTGGCATGTTATTAGCTCAGGAATATTAAGACCCTCCAATGGGCTGGCAGTTTGGAGGCAAGTGCTCCGGACAGACACACATTTTTGTGTGCTGTCCTGGAGGGAGTTTGAGCCTCAGAAAGGCAATGCCAAGATTTCAAAGAAAGCTCTTCCAACTCCTGCTTCTCTCAGGGGGCAATGCTTAAAGGCAAGAAAAGCTCCATCAGATTGTTCTGCAGAAGTACCAGGAGCACAGTGCTCTTAAGAAGCAGCCTGCAAAGATCATGTGAGCCACAGCTGTCTGTGAGGCACAGCCCTGATGTGCCTGCTGTCCTCCCCAGCAGGACCCTGCCTGCAGCACACCTGAAGAGCCCTTGTGCGACATTCACATCCTCTGGACAGAGACATAATTCTGTCTCTCAGGAGAAGCACAGAGAGAAGAAGAGAAAACAATCTTTATTTGTTTTCTCCTTTGTTTTTCCCCTGTGGAATGTGGTATGGAGACTGTTTACCTGCAGTGATTGCTGGGTTGGATTCTGGTGAAGGTTGTTTGGGTTCAGTGACCAATGGGATCCAGCTGAGGCTTGGATTCTCAGCAGAGAAGTCCCAAGTACTTAGTTAGTTAGTTGATAGGTAAGTAAGAAGTATGTATGTAGAATAGAATAGTCTCTCTTTAAATAGTATATTAATGTAATATAGTATAGTTTTAATAAAACTATCCTTCAGCCTTCTGGTCTGGAACCAGACATCATCATTTCTTCCCATCAGGGGTGCCTTTTGTACTGCACCCTTGGGACCTGCCTTGGCTTCCTCCACGCTGAGGCCAGTGAAGATGCAAGCAGAGGACAGTGCTTAGTCAGGGCCCAGCCCCACTTGGGTAGGCTGAGATCAAATTCTCCCAGTTCCACATCTGAACCAAAGAGTAATAATGCAGTGATTACAGCCAGGATAGCAGGCATAGGTAAGAGACAGGGGGCACTGAACTCCTTGGAAGGACCTGGTACACAGCAGGATTGTGATTGCTTGGATCCATGAACCTCAAACTAAGGAAACGTGAGACCCCTTTGGGGTCTCATTAATAGCACTTAAAATTATTTTTAAATTACATTATTCTAACACCAAGCCAAAAAAATAACAAGTGGCATCTGTATAAAAATCTTTTCCTCATATACATTTTATATAACATATTTTTAATATTTTAATCTATCTACCTAACTATGATTAAGAATGCCAAACTTTTTTTCTGTGCATCTGTCTTGCAGAAATAGCCTTTTACAAAGTTTAAAAATAAAGAACTGCAAGCAACAAACTGCAGGGGTTAGAATGCTGTTAAAATTTATTTCTGAAAGACACCAGTGATCCACTGCAGAAATGGTATTATTAATTTACACTAGAAGCAAACTGTTTTTATCTTCTCCTAGCAACAGTTTCTCATAGGAAGGTGACTTTATTGGACTGCTAAACATTGCCAGTGAAGAGCAATCAGAACTTCAGGAAGGTTTAAATCAATACAATAGTTTTTCAAAGATATAAATGAGAATGATGTGTAATTAAGTGTACCTAAAATACAGAAACATACTGTGTTGGTCATTCTAACAAAAATTATCATTTATGTAAATGGTTACCCATACATCTTTTCTAGGTCTCCAAAAATCTAAATATCTGATAGACAAAAAACATGACTAATATCTCTTCAATATCCATGTGAATAGAAGAATCACATATAAATGTAAACACATGCAGAAGAATTATGTCTGTATATGTTTGTTGTCTGAGAAATACAGAACCACACACTCGAGTCCCAAATGACTATGAGATCTCTGAAAAAAATATATCCAGTCATTTCTCTGGTATTAGCAACACTTTCTATGTTTTAAACTACTTTTTGCTGCTCTCTGTCAGATGATACCACTACAAATGTAAGTAGAAGGTCACTCTCAAAAACAAGAAAGTAAGAGATCACAGAGAAAAGGAACAAAACAAAAACCTCAAAACAAACCAGTCTGATATTTAGATCACTATATCTAGTAAAGGGCTTCTATGTATTTGATTATCTACATGCAGAGGACTAGGTATCTCAGGGAGACCTCCAGCATTTAATTAAAATTTCATCATTTAGACAAAAACAACTACTTAAATACAAATGTTTTCAAAACTTGTACTTTTTAATCTCATATTCTAGCTTCTAAAACTATATCAAGGTTCAACAGAATCTCAACTCTAAGTATTTTGAACTCTAAGTTCACAATAAACAGTTGCATCATAATACTGCTGACTGCTCTGAGTTTCTAAAATATATTAGTAATATTTTTGGCTATTTTCTGATGGAAAAACCATTATAAATTATGCTGTTTATATTTTGCAAAAAAGTTTTAATTGCACTATTATGCACTGTCTTTAATTTCTTTGTAATACCATTAATCACCATATTTTACAAAATAATTTGCACTCCCAGTAATCGCTGCCTAAAGTAACCAATTTTCTACATGAATTAGAGCGTACTTCTCAAATGCTACTTTTAGAACAGTAATGTTCATATGTCAATTTTATGGTGTTAAAATCCTATGACTTTAGGAATCTCAAAACTAAAGTTCTAAAGTCCAGTTTAGATTCTGTACTGCATCACAGTGTGTAGGTACCAGGCAGTACAAACACTACACATCTTTCAACAGCTCTGTACCTTTTACAGTTGACAATATTTAACAACCACAGAAGAAGCTAAAAGACTATAAAGTCTGTTGTTTTCTGAAGATTGTATTTATAAAAGTTCTGCTCAATCCATGATTTTCAAGTCATTAAGACTTGGTTGCTAGGAGTGATGCGGTCAATTCTGCAAGCTGTTTGGGAAAGTGTTCACATCTGAGCAAAGAAGTCGTCTTTATGTCAGAGTTAAGTGCAAGCAGGTATTGCAGGGTCAGGCCCAAAATTTATAAATTTCAGTCTGTGGTCACAAATGTTCTTCTAATGCCTTATTAAAGTGGTGATCTCAGTATTATTATATTAAGAAATTTACTCCCAGAGAAGTAGCTCCCTTTTTTTTTAATTAAAAAATAATAGACAAATTCACAGTGAAATGATGAAATTTAAAAACAAGCTTTCTTGTCAGAAGAGTGAAAAAAGAGGGGCTTTCCCCCTTCCAAGAAAACAAAGGATTCCTGAAAGTCTTGCCCTGATTTATTCTTCCAATTTTAAATACCTTAGGAGTAGCGGAACTGCTACTGGCATGGTAGTATTTCTAACAGTCAATAAATCTAAAATATTATGTGTGAATATTGGAATGAAGCCATTAAGAAGATTACAGCATGCAACGCAGCAGAGGGTCCTCATGAAAAAAGGACTGGTAATTCAGGACAACTGTGACCACTGACCTTTGAACAGTCAAGACCACTGGTCAGTCTGACAGAATAATAGAGTTCACATGCATGGAAAGTCATCTAGCCTGTACCTATAATTTAAATGCTTAAGTGAATGATTTAAAAATGCCTTTAAATCTCAGTTAATTTATTATACAGTTTATTAGACAACGCCACAGAATAATGTTTCTTTCAATCTTAAATTTATCCTGAAAAAATTCACTATCAGAGCACATATACATGGGTAAACCATTAAATACCTGTGCTGTGAGGACATCATCAGGTTTATTGATCAAGAAAATAATTACTCTGTTCCCTCTGGACACAAGAAACAATTTTAGAAAAATTGGAAAATGCTGCATTTCTTTTGTTAGGCTGTTAACCAACCTGGAATCAATTTTTGAAAGGGACAGTAAGACTACAACTTCTTTTATATTTTCAGTTCTTCATTTTATTTTAATGCCTTTCAGAGGTACTCATTATATTTTTTCATCAGAAGTTTTACTACTTTTGTATGCATGCTTGTGAGGTTTTTCTATATGAGTTAAAATGCTTCACACATGTATCGTTGACATTCCCTTTAATGTTTTAAGCCTGACTCACCATTTTGACTCTACACTCCTGTGTCTTACACTTTTCCCCAAGATGTCAGCAGCTGCACTGCCCCTCATGAATGCAAAAGGAGGACAAGCATTTAGTAACCCTATGAATCACAGTCCTGTGCCTTTTGTCTGTGCTTTTTGTTTCCAGGTTTTCCAACTACAATTGTATATGCATTCCATCAAAATGTTTAATTAAAATCCCTTACAGATTGAAGTGAAGTAAGAGATAGGATTATTCAAATTAAAAACTTAAATACAAAATCTTCAAATTCTGCAAGTCTATTTTGCATAGAACACTGTTTTGGTTTTTTTTTATTTTAAATATGGAAAAATATCTTAAGTCTAGTCTGTAGCCTGTACACTTGGATAACCTACATTAAGATTTACAGTTATAACATGCATATATTCTGGGAGAAAATACACTTCTAGAAGTAGGATGATCTGTATCCCTATTTCCTTCATGCTAGCCTGCTTATTTCGAGATCATTTTGATATCCACCTGTAAAACACATGACAAGTGCTTCTTATTGCACAGAGATCCATTTTGACTGTTCAAAGGACCTCCAGCTGTAACTCCAGTATCTCATGGAATATGATGCCTAATTCTCAATTCCACATCCAGCTATTATTTAGCATGCAGGCCTTCATGACATTGTAACATCAACCCTATTCACTCAGTGGAAGGCCAGTTAAAGCTCCTGACATGCCAGAAAATGACTCTTTCTTTACTTGTTATACTCTCAAATGACAGAGTACAGTCAAAGTTACTGTATATATCTATATACATGTATATACTGTATCCATGCCTATGTAAATCACAAAACATCACAAAAATACACCAATTTAATAATAAATACACTAATGTAAACCACAGAACATCACAATAATTTTCATAGTCTTTTACATTTCTGAACTACAGTTGATGCTGAGTCCAAAGACTGACCAGATGATCTATAAAATGTTTTGTCTTGTTTTTAGATCATTAAAATCAAAGGGCAGTGTCACAAATACTATCATCAAGAGTTTGACTTCTATTGTACTAAATATATACAAATTATCAACAGTAACATAAGACACAGTATGCCACCACAGGATTTTACTTTGATTATGACAGGGGTATTTTATGATTTACAATTTCAGAAAATTTAACTCTTCGATTTCATTTTTTGATATAAAATTCTTTGTCTTGACAACTATTTGACAACAACAACAGCTTGTGCATCTTTAATTGAATAATGAAAACAGTGGTTTCACAATTATATTCTTTTAGAGCTCTACTGGGAAAAACAAGATAAGTGAATTTTGTGACTGTTTAAAATGATATACAGAGTATGTTCTCCTATAGGCAATAAAAAAGAAAAAAAAAGGCAAAAAAAAAAAAAGAGGGGGGGCACCCTCTGGAAGATCAAAGTCCAGAAAGAACTGGCACTTAATTTATCATCCTTTACAGACAAAAGACAGCTTTCGTCATTTCAAAAGAATCAGATGTCTTTTATGACAAACTGGGTTTGCAGTTTAATTTACAAATAGAATTCTAAGTAAGCACTCTTTGCTCTGCCAAAGCAAATGACAAACAGTATAGGTTTTCATTCACACAGCCCTCAGCAGGATAGAAGAGATTAAAATAAAACTGAAATAATTTAGAGAAAACAAATAAATGTTTCACAAAGTTGAAGAAGATCAAAGCCTGAATTTTCTGACCCCAACTGTACAAGCATTTCTTATTATATTGACCAGTGCCATCAGATCATTAATTAAAAGGAAAGCGCTGGCAGGTGGCAGGGAAGCAGAAGCCGATAATTGGCCCCCTTCTTCTTTTTGCCTTCAAAAACTCTCTCGTTCTTTTGCAAGACATGCCACTAGGCAGACAGAAATGCCTACTTTGTAATATAATGATTAAGATGAGATGAAGAGACTCTTGCGTTTAAAGCAGCTCTGCCTAATGAATGCAGCTAGCTTTATAATTATGATCCTACTTTTACAATAAGGAATATGATGTTCCATTCAATGTCTCCTCAGCTGTCAAAAAGGTAAAAACCTCAAATATAGGGGTCTGCACTAGGTGTTTTTCACCCCCTTATTCCTTTTACAGCAGTTAGCAAAATGAGGCAAAAATAATTATGAGTAATTCAAGCACCTATATAAGAAAGAAAGAAAGAATGAAATGTCTAAGACTCACCACTTCACCAGGTAGGTTGTTCAGGTCATTAAAAGGGGTTTCTAGAGTGTTTGTGTCAACATTTAGCAAAACCACATCCTCCAGTGATCTATTTTTTACTCTCTGTTAAGAAGAAAAAAAAATTGGAGAAACAATTTACTATGGTATCCTCCTGAAGTACATTTTTCTTATACTGTGCTAAATTACAAATGATGATTTTATACAAAGGACAGTAATGGTAAAAACAGCTGGAGCTTGAGATGTAGGAATTGTGAATTAGATACAGCATTCAGAGTAGCTTTTGAAAATACTTCCTATACTTCAAACACTAAACTTATATTAATAATCTCTGAAAGGAATTCCTGAAAACTGAGATTTATACAGAATGCAGTTGAATATATTGGATAAATACATACTGGAACTACACATACTTGTAACAACATTTCATTCTCTCATATTTGTGAAAATCAGATAGGATATTAATCATATAATCAGATGAAAACCAGAAAAAAGTACAATTATTTGCAGATTTATGTAAGTACCAAGCATGTGATGCCTACTGCTACCACAGAAGAATGGAAAAAATGCTTTTTCATCAGTGTACTTGTCTAGCAGCTAAGAATTAAACAATTTGTTCCTTTCAGAAAAAAGGGATGGAACTCTTTTCTATATGGTCCTACAATAATACATAATAATGCAGTGAAGGAAAATAATTCCTGAAGGAACTGACTTCTTTTTTCAGGGCAGATCTTTCAGCTCCATTATTTCCTTATTGAATAAGAAAAAGCATCCTAATCAAGATATTATGACTGATGCATGCAGGTCATAATGATTTAGGAGCACAGAAGGCTATGCCTGGAGTTGAGAAGCGTAGATTATATAGAAGGCCTTTTTTTGGAAAAACAAAAGTGCTGGTGGCTCAGGAAAGAAATCACCCCATCACCTTAGCAGATGTGAATTGATCCTTGGAAACTGCTTTAGCAGAAGTGCAAATCAAATAAATGTTCCCAAGTCAATTATCTACACTCTGCATGATAATCACATGGCACATGTAGGCTTCGCAGCATTATTAAATGGTTATGGAAAAAGGCAAAACTATTTCTTACCCAGCTATTATGTAACAGTCAGGTGAGTTCTACTGTGTTGCTTTATGTTCAAATCTGTAAAAGCCACCTCTTTTTTTTTTTTTTTTTGGCAAAAAATGCTAATTTCTAAATTAATAGAAATGTCATGGGATGGAGGTTAGATTCAAGTTTTCAGAGCGACAAGAGCATAAATTATATGGGAAATCACAATAATGCCATAATCTGAGTGACAGTGACTCCAAAATAAATTCTACCTGTTCCTGAAAAATAAATTTTTATTCATTGCTGGGATAAGCTGTTGCTAAAGTACTAAAAAGAAGGAAAATAGCTACCACTGAGCTATTAATAAGACCGAGAAAATCATGATGTAGAGCTACAAGTCTTCATAAAACACTTCTAAAGTAAGATTTCAATGAGAGATATTATTTAGTAAAGCATATGAAGCTTAAATTTTGTAATTCTGCATGCTGAAGTACAGGGATTTTTTCTAAAGCATTCCATAAAAAAGTTTTTCATGGCACACACACCTCATGCACCTCCCAGTACACCACAGAGTACAGGAAACTTACCTCTATCAAGCTTAAGTGGACGCCAATTAGATAAGGCATCGGTGCACTGAAGAAAAGGAGTGGAAAACATCAAGTTTTAAGTACAACACTAATGGATTATTCTAAATCTTGGACATAAGACCCTAGTAGACAGTCACTGTTCAATACAGTATTAAATGAACACAGTTGCTACAGGAATGTTTACTAGACAAGGAAAATTTTGTTTTACTCTGCAGTAAAGAGTTTATTTAAACAAAATAAAGGATGCTGCTGCAAACTATGAGGCATGAGCAAGGAGGCACCACAGCTTTTCATCCAGACCTTGTTCTAATAATGACCACACTGAGCTAACCCAACAGATGTTCCCCAAGTGGGCTGGTTTTAAAACACCAACTGGAGGACATAGTCCTGCTTACCATCACCACAGTGCCATACAAACATCATTACCACCAGTTTTGGTTCTGAATACCTCTCCTGGCAAGCCTTTGGAAGCTGTATAATATCCTATTTAACTCAAGATAATAAACTTCTCCTTTCCAATTTCCCTAAGACAAGGAACTGTACCCTCCAAATAGAACAAATATCCACACAAAGCCGCCACAGTAAGACCTCCTGCAGCATGCAAGCAAGAAACTGAACTAGGCTGATTTATCATGGTTTCCTACAGTCTTCTGTTCTGGCAGCATCTGACCGAGAATATACTCAGTGTTCTGCACTGAAGGAAAAAAACTTCAGCAATCACCATGAGATTTTTGGGTACTGTGAGGTTATTGACAATATTCACTCCAGAGAAGTGAGCAATTGACAGGCTGGTTTAGGCAATTCAATGGGAAATGAATCCCTAACAGATCACAGAGAAAAAAAAAACTAAATAAAAATAATCCCTGAAAAATAATGGAAGGAAGATGACATACAAAGGTACACAACTCACACACAGTAATGTCTCTCATGGCAATAATTTGATCACAGTGGCACTGACTGATTGGTGACTGACTTCCCAAGGATGGGGCAAGGTTTCACTGCATCAGTTCACGTGGTCTCATCCATTTGGTCCCACCTCTGGGACCACAAAAAGCAATTCTCACCTGCCTACAGCTACAGCCCATTTTAGAAAAATCTGTACACCCTATGGATTAGCCAATTGCTCTCATTAACAATGTCCCACAGGAGAGGATCAATGCACAAAAAAAAAAAACCAAAACAAAAAAAAAAAAAACCCTATGGATTAGCCAATTGCTCTCATTAACAATGTCCCACAGGAGAGGATCAATGCACAAAAAAAAAAAATCCAAACAAAAAAACAACAAACAAAACCAAAAACCCAGCCTGACTGAAGCCCAAACAACTTCATAGTGTCTATGACATCAAAATACAGGTTTGCTGGAATTGCAAACTGTCATGGCTTAAGATTTCTAAGCAATGGGGCTTCCAAAAAGGAAAAGAGACCTCTATTTTTACACACATCTTTTTCTTAGCCCAATACTGACAAAATTTAGCACTTCCTGATGACTTCATCCAGGCTGATCCTTATGTCTTTTTGAACTAAACACAAATTAAATGGAGTTGTAAATGAGTGTCACTTCTGAGCAGATATCCATATATATTCAGAGGGGATTTAAACAGCTTTAAACCACTCTATAGTTTAAAGATTGCTTTGTACTATTTAACGTATTTAACTAAGCCAGTTAGAATGGTTATGGCTGACACATAACTGAGAATTCTGCTGCAGAATATGCAGCAAAACAGATCCTCAGGTTCCTCATATCAGGATACCTCAGTGTTGCAAATAATGTGAACAGACAGAACTAGAGTGAAAACAAGTGCTATGTCATGTATGGATTTTATGCACACTTGCTTTCTCATATATCAACACTGCACCAGTGGCTTCACCACGCCTGTGCTGACTTAGGATAGCTGATGATTTGCTCCATTAATAAATCTGCTATTAAAAAGGGAAGCATGTCGCTCTTTTCTCTACAGAACAAAGCAACAGCTACATCATTTCCATTTTGAAGTTAACAGAATAAAGGTACAAAGCACATCTTGAAAATGGATGAAATAAAAACTGCAGGCATAGAAAGTCAATTTAATCATTTTCAGCAAAAAGTAATTTTATAAGTCTTAAGAGCAGAGGCCTGTAATATGCACATGAAATTGCTTACTATGATACTACTGGGAGCTGCTATAGAGTTTTTCTCTTGCTTTTGCATGTTATCACCAAAAATATCAATCAGTGGTATCACTGCCCAAAATAATTACTATGTTATGCAAAACATCCAAGCTAATTGGAAAATAATTGCCCCATTCTCACGAAAACAGGCATATGTATATCCTAATTCAGAAGAGACCAAATCTCATAAAGACCTATTGCAAGAGTAACTTGAATTTTCTGATTGCATTACATTCTCAACAGAGCACTATAATAACAGATGCTTTATCACTGACAGACAAAACTGGCACATATTCTAATATCGATGATTTAGTTTGCCAAGATATTAGACCAAAATTTCATGAAATTAGCTTTCTTTTTCACAAAAATTAATTTTATTCAAATATAATTACTGTATCAATGTTCTAACTTAATTTTTGTAACAGTTTTCTTGAAAACCAACCACCACTACACTGAGTGCAACAGTCTCCTTTTACTTACTTAAATGTAGATGAGAAATCTATTTTTTATAACATAATTTAAAACTCAATTTTTTTATTAACTGTGACAAGGATTTTTTTTGCTGCAGTTACAATGAATATTACTTTCTCAGCCTATATTTTGTTATCTTCCGGAAAAAGAAATTTCTTACATCTCTTTTTCTGGATGGTCACTCCAGTTCTCCCACTGGAGCTCCCACAATGGCAGTCAAGGCTGAGCTAACCCTCCTGAAGTCCATGAACAGACACTCTGTTCTCAGCCTGGAGCTTGGCACTCGCAGCCTGGCCAGTCCTGAGGCTGGTGCAGTCCACACTGTCCCTCTGGCTTGGGCTACTCCAGCATCACCTGTTACATTAGGTCTAAATCCAGCCTGTAAATCAGGCAGCAGGATAGAAATTAACAGATTTTTTTTTATTAAAAACGCAAGTGGAAGTATTGAAATCATTTCAATATAGCCTTGTTCTGCTCAAAGATACATTCTTCCTTTTTCTTGCTTACAAAATGTACCAGCTAGGCACTTTATGTGAGTGATCAAATTCTAACCCCACAGAATTGTATCCTTTATGATATTACAAAGATTCTTAGTCCAACTAATAGGAAAAAAGGTGTGTTTCTCTCAAAATACATTATATGATCATTGTGCAAAAAAAAAGTTACAGAATCAGGCTTATCTTTAAATTAATAGATTTAAATATATTTTATCTTTGTTTAAAAAAGCTTTACTACCATAGAATGAACAAATTATTTAATTGATATTCCCCTACTTCATATATTTGAAAGCCATTTCAGAACAACGTTAAGAAAATGAGAGTTCATAGGAGACATTCCAAGAAGCACAAGGGAAACAGTGACAATGAAATTTCTAGGTATGAAAATACATGTTGAGCTAAAATGGCACTTTTATGAAATGAACTTTGCTTATCAAAAATGACGTAAAAAATAGAAGTAGCAAAATAACTTTTGCATTATTATTTTTAAATTGGCATGATCCTGTTGGACTGCAAACTAGGTCAGGCCTACTACAAACTTTGACCTTAAGAATTCATCAAGGTTTTTTTAACCTGATATATTATATATGTATAAGGAGAACATTTATTTACTGTTAATACACCAGAACATGAGGAAAGCTACGTCATTTATGTGTTTTTATTACACTTTTCCAAACCCTCTCACAAAAGAACCATTCAGATGAACAGAAAGAGAAATGTAAATGCACAAAAATCTGAGTCAAAAGGTCTGAACTACAGCTACTGTGATAAAGTCATCTGTTGTGCATTTCTCTTCATGAACTTTATGTTACCTTTTGAACATCTCTAAAACAGGAGAACTTTTTTCTCCACTCTACTGTAATAGAGAATAAAGGATAGAAATGAATTTTACAAGTTTAAGAAACTCCATGCTTCTTTTTAATGAGTAAAAAAATTTCTCAGGTCATGCCACATTGACCTAGAATCCCAACTATTATCATCATCACATGGAGCTGTGTACAGCATCTAACATTGTTATTTCTGAAAACATTATCTGGGCTGAGAAGGGGAAATTTTAAAAAATCTTCTCATATTCAGGATGCACTCTACAGGGTACAGTTTGCATAAGGAAGTTCATCTGCCTTCTGAGAACAGCATTTTTGGATGATCTGAAAAACTACAAAGGTTCTGGCCGGAAGCTCAAGTAATAAAAAACTGAAACACACCCAAGTTCTACCCCATCTTGGTGCACTTTATCAAGGGCAGGAGGAGAAAAAATTAGGACAGTTTCTTCAACAGAAAACTATCATTAAAGAGGAAAGGCTTAGCTGCACTTGTAAGTAAAAGGAGGAGTTAGAGAAGAACATTTGGGATTCCTTTTAAAACAACAAATAAAATACACATTATTTGTAAGAATTACCACAGAAAAAGTATATACCATGGACAAATATTGTGAACTTCAGGAAAAACTACAAAAGGTGCTTCAGGAAACATAGTGAGAATTTGTTTGAAAACAAAATTTCAGTAGACTGAATGGAGTTCAGTAGAACACCAATACATTCATAGGTTTGAGGTGGAAAAAACTCAAACCAAAACCAACAACATAAAGCCCAGCAAACATATAAGCATAATTTATTTCTATGAAGAAAACACAGACTTAGCTCAGTAAATATCTGGCTGGGTCTCAGTTTTTATATATAATAATAATAATTGACAATCTCTAAAACAGCTTGAAATGGTTCATTTTTCCATAAGAGACCCAGAGGGTCTAGGTTAAATGAAAGTCTCCAGGAATGGATATTCCTGCTTAAATGGAAAATGGAAACTCTCGTTTGTTATCTCTGCCACTACTCTGAATAAAAGCAAGAAATTGTGAAACAGGCATGTGGAAACATCATCCCCTTGAAGGATCAGAAATTAATCAAAAAGTGATTATTCTTCAACTTAAAAATGTGCCAAAACCACAAAGTCTGTCATGTGAACAGAAACCCATCAGGAGAAGCAGAATTCTTATTATAAAAATTTTGGAGTCCCAAAAGGAGCTTTTAAGCTGTTTTGGGACGGCATTGGCTAGAATCCTGAGTCTGGCTGAGTTAAAACACAAATAGTAAATCACTGATGAATACTAACATCTGATTCTGGAAAAAATGATCAGGGTTTTTTTTGAATGCTTCTATAAGTATAACGTGTTTCAACTTAAAAGCTAAATAAAAGAAAACTGTAACATGTTTGCATTTAAATTATTGAATGAATTCTCTAAACAATACAACAGAAACAGTTCTTACAAACAAGATTCTAAATGCTGCACTAATAGCAATCAGCACTGTAACTCAAGATACTAATTCAAACACCATATCAAGGCATGCTGGAATATCCCTAGTCAAATTATCATTTAAGCACTGGCCTAAGTGCTTTCATAAACTGGATCCTGTAAGTTCAGTCATACTAAAGAATCAGTGTTTTCATCAGTTAGTCAGAATTCTAAGACAGGTAAGAATTTCAGATATGGGGATAACAGGTTAGCTGTCTTACCAGCAGTAGTCCAGAAGATGTGGAGGAAGCACTGGGATGTAAATATGTTGCCAATACATTGGATACAATAATGCAGCTGACGCATGAACACAAGCAGTTAACTAAAAACAAAAATATATACACAGAATTGGCAACAAAAAAAAAACATGAATAAAAAGAAAATACAAAATCTTAAATTAACTTTAGACATGCAGGAATCTTAAACTCCCCAAACCACCTATTATATAATTTTGTAAATTACTCAGAATTGCCAAAACACGTCCACAAAGAACTCTAACATATGTATAAAAGCACAACATCTGCAAGAAGTCAGGCTAACAAGTTAGCCCTCCCTGCTCAGCTATTCCCTTGGAAAAAGAGAAATAATCATGAATTACTTGATGCAGTCATGGTCAAACATGAGTACTGCATGATCACACAGGACTGAAGTGCACCCCAGTTTCACTTGCCTCCACTGAGTGCAAAAGACTCAGGGGAGTTTTCTGGTCCCCATTTCTGCTATTTTTAACTGGAATTGATCTGAAGCTGCATGAAGCCACAGAACAGCACTAAACACAGAAGCAGGATTAACTCCTTTTTGTGTCACTATCTTCATTTCCAAACTATCTCAAAAAAAAAAAAAAATCTGAAATTAATATTCGCTGTAACAGCAAAGGAACTTAATTACATTTTTCCAAAACTCCCTTCCCAAAGCAGAGACTTCCACGCCTGGCACAAGGATCATGGAAAATGAAGGACTCCTTGACCAAGAAAGGAGGTGCTACAAACTGCTTACCACTTAAAATGGACACCTCTGGTTTTCTAAAACAAACAAAAAAACACCACAACCACCACTTTACCCCCGAAACAGAGAAACAACTAAGTATGGAATTCATTAGAAATGGGGCCAAGTTCATTCCACAAGTGAACAAAATAATCTTGGAATATGTAAAGAATTCAAATTTTATCTATCTTTGCTATAAGGGCGTCTCTCAAATTTCGTTATTTTATTATGCATGCATAGAGTTATCCCAGAATGAGAAAAAATCCAGGCTGCTCCAAACAAGGTAACCTATATCCATCCTATGTAGCACTAGAAACCTCATATAAAAAGGGAAAAAAAAGTTTAAGAGAATGCCCTGTAATGTAGAAGTTACCAAGCTGATGGAATAGAAGAGGCTGTCCTACTGTTTTATCACAAAATTACTACCTGAGTTTAACTTGATAATAGCACTGTTTATTAGACATGAACTTTCACAATAACAAAACAAAGACAAAAAATAAAATGTAAATCCTGCCCATGCAGCAAGTGCTAAAACATTTTGGATCTTAAAGGGGAAAAAAAACAACCCTCTTTGTGGAACAGATCAGCAGTTAAAGTGTTCATGTCCTGGCTGTCTTGGACATTTAGACTTGTAAATAAAAAATTACACTACAATTTTGTACACGTATTTTTTACCCTAAAAATGAAAAAAAAAAAAAAGCAGTTATAAGACCATTTGCAGCAGAAATCAGAGACAATTACAATTTGTGCAGCCTGGTTTGCTCAGCCCTCAGATTAATATAACACGATTAAATATGGAAAAGAAGAGAGCCTGAAAGCTCCTGAGGGATATCATTAGGGCAAATTGCCAAAGAATGAAACATGAGCCAGTCAGGAGAGTCTGGAAGCTGCAGTGGTACCAAGGGACTTGAATATTCGACAGTTGGAGCTTCAGTAATGTGTGAACTGCAGGTTAAGGTATCAGGAGACTCTGCTCACTGACACACAGAATGTCACTATTGACCAGCGAGCTGCCCGAGCCTGACAGCTACACAGCAGAAAGCCAAGGATATCATAATTCCCTATTTAAACTCTTCCTTGCAGATTAACATCTCCTTTCTTAGCTTTACACCACACTTCTGCAATTACTCTCATTTTGGACTTATAATAATGGGTATTTTAATAATTATTGGGCTGTTACTATGAATTGATTTGGGGGAAGAAATAAATGAGTACATTCTCCCTCTTCTACACAGTGGGATTTATGAGGTTTATTTCCATATTATCTCTCTGTGTAGACTGTACTGACAGCACAGTCCAGCTTAGCATCATGTTTTTTGCTCTTTCACTCAGAAAGGATATGGCATTATTAATTATTATGTCCACATACTTTTTTACACAGTATATATTTCAAACCACAACAACTTATAGAAAAATCAGCATTTCAAGTATTTCAATCAAAGGCTGAAATAAAGCTGAGCATAGTTATCCAGGATATCCCCTGATGTATACAGTCACCTCCTCCTCCTCTTAATAGGCATTCTTAAATTATGAATTAAGATGACTATACTATTTGCATTAAGAAATTTCCCCATCTTATGCACGTCTGTTATATTTTATTTCTCTACTTTAACAAAGGAAGCATGCAATTCCTTAAAAATAACTGAAGTCTTATTAACTCATTTTATAATCTGTATTTTAGTGTAGCACTCCCAATAGCATCTATTTACCATTTATAATTTTTTCATCTACAAAATTTTATTATTTCTAGCAGGAAAGGCAAAGACTTGATTACTTACACATCAAGCTTTTGTTGTACTGTTCCTCACTTTTCTATTTAATAACATCTTACTGTAAGATCCTTTTTTAAAATTTCCCTCTATGCTGCTGCAGTATGTATGTTTTATAGTTTCCTGTTTACAGCATATAACACAAGCAGCTATAGGATTGTGCTGCTCTTCAAACTGTGCCACATTTTATTATTCTGCCAACTCTGTCTTTAAGCAAATACTGATAAGATAATTATGTATTTCATATTGAAATTTGCATACTTGGTGTAAAGAAATCTCTTTTTTGCCTTTTTTTTTTGCTGTTTCAATGGTGACTGCATTTCTCAAATGCATTAGTTATTTAAAATAACCTTCCCCTTTAACTGACACATCCACTCCAAGGAACAGAATGGGAACTGCTGTGAAGCCTGAACAATGCTCACGTCTTAAGGGGCAGTTCTGAAAAGCTGGGTCCCAGGGAGAACTCAACCATTTAATCACAACTCCACAAAGGTGACACCAGATTTGGGGGTGTCCAGCAGCGTCTGTGCACAGGAGCAAAGCCTGGCAGGCACCTGCCAAAGGCTGCAGGGGACATCCTCAAACAGAGCATCCAGCACAAGCTCCCAGGCAAAGAAATGAGAGGCTGTTGCTTGACCACATGGGAATATTTTCTGCAGAAAACAGTCCTTGCACTATTTAGGCACAAAGACATCTCTCTGGAGTCTGACAATTGACTGCTATCTATTCCAAAAGGAATTATCAAGAACTACCTTGAAAAGATATGTCACAGATAAAACAGGTACACATTCTCCTGAATTACCTTGAAGTTGTCTTCAGGAGACATTCTACCAAACCATCTTGAAGTTGTCCTCAAGACTGTGTCCAACCCTACCTATTTTTCCACTGACAACTGGATATGAACACCAATTGTGAACTGTGAACTTCCTTTTAAAGGTAGGTTTTATATTAAAGGCAAAAGCCTCTGTCCAATAAAATCTGCTGTACATTTATGTATGGACACAGATACATCATTGCACAACTCTGCAGTTAAATTATAGCAGATGAGTGCTGCAGAACCTAGTTCCTGCAAATCTCATAATTTATTACCTGGTTTGAGGTAAAAAATTATGTTGAGACATCCTCCTGTAGTTCATGTCACTACAAAAGATATACTAGAGCTGTGTTTCTATCCATTAAAAAATGGGCAGACAGCTTTTAAGTAAAGTTTTTGTCAGCTGAAATTCATTTCCCAACACTCAATGGAACTTCCAATACTTTTGTTTCCATCAATTTTGATATTTAGACTGTTTTTCTCCATTTCAAATAATGTCTTTTAGTTAAACAACTTTTATTTTTAAAAATAAAACTAATTATCTTTTTAAATTTTGTTTAAATAATGTGGTTTACTTACATTAACAGCATGAGTCAAATTATTTGAATTAGTTAAAAGCAAAATCTTAATGTTCAACCCTTTAACAAATAAACACATCTAATCTGAAATCGCTAACATTTGCACTGGGCATAAGAAGCTTTATGTCTTACTCCATCAGTAACAGGCTTACTAATAGTACTGAGTATAAATGAAAGTTTCAGTCTTTATGATCTCTCCTGATAAGATGCTGCAGCCAGAATCAACATGTGAGCTTTCATATACTGCAAGGAAAGTAACTGGCGTTTTCTCCAGAGTACTCCAGTGATTCTGGTAAATTAATTTTTATCCTTCCCTCTGCAAAAAAAAAATTCTGAAACTACCTGTCCACTGAAAAGACAGTCTCTCCAAATAATGGGAGACCACATTACAGAGTTTGTAAGCAGAATTCATTATTGGGCAACAGAAAATTGATTACTACCAAATCTCAATAAGACTGAAACAATGCCCAAATTCTAGAGAATGATGAGTTACTTTCTACCTTATGGCAATAAGCAGACAGCTGGGAAGGCTGTTGTTCAAAATCTATGCAGTAATGAACATGAACAGCTGGGAGAAGTTTTAGTTCAAACCAAAAGCAGGTCTACCTGCTCCTGAAACTCAAAGAGTGCAGCTCTTCCCCTCCCTCATGCAGATGCAGTAATTCTGATGAGTGTATCTGCCACCCCAATGCTCACTTCTACCAATGAATCTTTCTGCTTGGTATTTCAAAGGGATTGGTCCCTTTTTCTGTTGGCCTTTTATCCTCTTCCTCATTTCAGATCTTGCTAGAACACTGCGACATGTCTGGAGCTATACTACTTCAGCTGAAATATTTTCTGCAGACTCACAGATAATGCTTATTTGTTACCTATTATTCACATAATTTCAATGAGCAACATAAAAATACCTGTATTCTGCACAAAAGGTACCTGGCAGTTTCTTCCATTGATATAAATTACTTTCTTCAAAGCCTTTTCCATAATCAAAGGTAAAAAGAGAGGAAGAGCATCGATGGCAAGATTTGCACACATTGCAATGCACAAACAAGAAAGACAGAAACTGATTAGCAGAATCTTGTCAGAAAGCCAAAAACAGCAACAGAAGTTAAACAAATGCTAAAGTAAAATTAACCTGTGATTCTACAGAACCTTTCAAAATCTACTGTAAGCAACTAAA